GGGGAAGAGAGAGAGAGGCAAAAATACATTACCTGATTATATGCTAAACTCTCTGCTAGGAAAATTAGCCCGTCATTTCCAAAGTTTCGACCTGCCAAACACTAAAATGTTCAACCAAGCACCTTGCGATTTGAATTATAATTCCATAATCAGTAAGTAAACCATGTCTAGTCACAAAACAAGAAAAATGCAGCAAAGATTTGAACATGGTGTCTTGAGCTTGGGGTTGGGTGTGTGTTTGGGGGGGGGGGGGGGAGCTTAAACTTGCAACACGTCTAGGAAATATTCTTAAGACACTATCAGTAAGCAAAACATGTTTTATCACAAAACAAGGGAAAAAGCAGCATCTTCGGTTCGGTATTTGTTTGTTTTCTTTCTGGGTTGAGGTGGGTGCTTAAAAATTAACACGTTTAGGCAAATCTTTTGCAGACATCATCACTTTCCTGAAAACCATAAATAATTAAAGTTCCTGATCTAAGCTTTCCAAAAAAAAAAGTAGATATCTTTTACGCCAGCACTTAGCATAGTTTGAACACCAATTTTGATATGTGAAGCAGCTGAGCCAGCAACTGAGTGCAATTTTACCTGACATGTCAACAATGCTGAAAGATCTAAGCTCTTTAGCAAACTCATTAAGCCTTAGCTTGGATTCTCTTTCAATCTTTTCACCAAAACCAGGCAACAAGTTTGTCCCAGGGGCGATGAACCACTTTACTCCTTCAGTAGATTTGCTTTCTTCTGCTGAAGTCTTGGCTGGTTTGGGTTGAAGAATTTTCTCCACCAGCTTCCACAAAACTGTCAACTGAACACATAGATTAGCACAATATAGAGAATCCTCCTTTTATTTAAGATTACTATTTCTGGTCACAATTATAGGTAGAAATATTCTTCAGTCAAACTGCCATGTTCATACAAGACTCAACCTCCAGAAAAAAATCACAGGCTAAAGTAGAAAGGATACTACTTGTAACGAGTACAAAGAGAAGGGAGCAGCAATAGAAGATGGCAAGGGCCTATAGTCAATGGTGGAACCAGTGAAACAATGTGGCAATACTAAGAACTTTATTCTTTCTGAAGATGCAGAGTTAAGCAGCTTCATCAATTCTTTTTTGAAGAAAGAGCTCTGGGGAATTTAAACCTTTTTTGATAAAGTTGAGAATGTAAAACTCTAAAAGCTAGAATTAATTAGACGGGCCAAATACATATGCGACCCCTTAAAATTGCCTGGATATTTAATTTAGACACCGAAACTCAAGCTAGTACCTGACGCTTAAACTCATCCAGAAGTATATCTATTAAACACAATTTTGACAGCTTACAAACAAAACAAAGCGCGTGTATTAAACGTGTCAGACATGGAAAATGGCACCAATAAGAAATATACATGTCGAAAATAAATATGACTTGTCAAGCAAAGTCCAGTCCTAACAATCCCCCCCCCCCCTGCGGCACAACTCTACCTCCCCTCCTAATCTTCTTCCACCACTTTCATCAATTTTATGAACGAAGTCCAGTCCTATCCCTCTTTTCCTCTTTGTCTCAAAGAGTTGCACATAAGCTCATCTAGCTAGATGTTTGCTGGAAGAGTGGTTGTGTTTTTTGATGGAATCGGCCAGTGGGGTGTTGATGATATTGACCAATAAGGCAGAGAGCGGCGAGGAGCTGGTGGCGATAGTCATTTGTTGCCACCTTTTTGCTTAAATCAATTTACAGTCAATACATCGAACCACATGAAAAATTGGATTCTTACGAAGCAGAAATTGGGATATAGAACTGATAAAAAGAAGAATTTGATGCTGGGTACTGGGCCATTAATGGTGATAAGACAAGCTTGTGAGTTTTATTATTCAGGGACTCAAGCTTAATTGTAAGGCACTTAGAGAAGAATGGTAGGAGGTGAGATAGATTAATTCGAATTCCACAACATTGGCAATTAGGAAGGTACTGGCTAGGTGAAACAGATGAGAAAGTAGTTTTGCAAGCAAGCCATGGAACTCGCCGCCGACAAGAAAATTTCCAGCAAGGTGGGTCAACAGCTTCTAAGAAAAGAGAAAAGCAAAAGGGAAAAGAGAAAAAGGAAAAAGTTAACCATTTTTTAGATACTACACGCGCTCAGAGAGAGTGCAAAACACACATTCTGCCACGCAGCAAAATGTGTTTAATAAAACATTTTTGAATGAGTTTAGGGGTTCAATAGGTATTAACTCGAGTTTTAAGTGTCTAAATGAAATATTGAGGCAAGTTTAAGTGGTTGCATATGTATTTGGCCTAATTAGAAGCAATGAAATCAGTGCTTGATGAACTGTTTATAAGTGCCAGTCCCGCACGTGAGGGGACATGTTGCAGATATATAAAGATAAATAAATATGCTCTCTCTAACAGCTGTAACAAAATTTAACAATTCTATTAACTTCTAGCAATTACATAATTAATAAGAATACTCCTCTTCCTGATTCTCTTGACTTTCAGGAGACAGTCAAATGAAGACTGCATAAAATGTGGGACAAGTCATCACACGCTACATGTCCGTCAAGAATAGAACTATAGTTGACAACTAAAAGATGACAACATAAGCAAGCATCATTACAAGAAAGGATTTAGTTCAAAGAATGAAATAGTGAAGTTGTTGCATCATCTATTCCTCAAAAGCCGCAAGAGAAATCACTGACTTAGAGGGGATATACATTTTCCAATGGCTAACCTATTTAGATAATTAAGAAATAGAAACAATTACTCCCTCCGTTTCAATTTAGATGAGGTAGTTTGATTCGGCACGGAGTTTAAGAAAAAAGAAGAAGACTTTTGAAACTTGTGGTCTTAAAAGCTTGAGGGGTAAAAGCTTTGTGGGGCCATGACATTTATGTGGTTATAAAAGCTTCTCATTAAAGGTAAAATGGGTAAAATGAAGAGTTTAAAGTTGAATTATTTTCAAATTGAGAAATGTGTCACTTATTTTGTAACAGACTAAAAAGGAAAGTACCTCATCTAATTTGAAACGGAGGGAGTAAATGTTTGCAACAGATTGCCAACTAAATAGTAGGTGGGTCAAAATGTCAAAGTACACGATCCATTCATGGGAATAAACGCACCGAAACATTTAAAATGATACAAAGTGCTAAAAAATGAAAACGGCAATCCTAACTGGAACTTTTTTTTTATCAAGTAAGATGTATTTCATTAAAAATGCACCCAGTAGATGCTGCGAATTACAAGTAAAAGGATAGGGAAAAAAAGAAGAAATAGCTCCTGAAACAGTGATCACCCTATATGCCTTCTAAGGAGCTAATAAAGACAAAAAGCTGATCAAAAACATCTACGGTATGATGTTTACTCCAGCAAAAAGTATTTGTAAGACATCTACACTTCAAAGCATGAATAGGAGAAGAGTTTCCTTCAAAGCATCTGCTATTCCTTTCTAGCCATAGACACCAAAAATAGAAGCTGGGACACCAAAAACGAGCTAACTGGAATTAATGAAGGTAAGTTCGAGTTTGAACAAGTGTGCTGCACTTCTAAGTTCTAAATGTGAGCCAATGCTAAGAACAATTACAAGCTCTTGTCTGTTTACTCATTTTTTAATCATAAACAACTTAATAAAAAGAGGGTGATTTAACGCAGGATGTACTGCTTTAAAGACTTTAGTTCTACTTCATAGTTGAACTACTGAGTCTGGGCCATAGTGCCAAGCACTCAGATAACTTGAAACTTCATTATAAAGTTGAAACTTCACAAGACCTCATGAACCCTTCCTTTCTTTTTGGGTACCGCATGAAGCCTGACCTATTCAAGCATCATTGATTGTTTTTTCTTTTGGGAGAATGGTAAGGATTCTATCGGGATAATGATGGTGTTCGGGCTAGCTTGCGCACACATCGACTATTCAACTGGGTACATATTACCTTCCACCAGCACATGTACTGAGTAACTCTATCCACTTAGGCAGATTGGAAGAAACCACTTAGTGTTTGTCGTCTTTGCTGAGATTTAAACCTTAGTCTCAAAAGTTTGCACCCATTTCCTTGACCACTAAGCCACATCCTTAGGAGTAAGAATGGTAAAGATATTATAAACATAAGTAGCATAAAGCTAGTGCCAATTCCAGCATCTGCCTAAATTGGAATACCATTTACATCTTCCCTCTACCTTAAATATTAAAGCCTTGCCTAGACCACTAATTTGGCACGGCGAAGAGGAAAAATGCAAGAACAACAACGAGCAAATTTTATTTAGTTTGCAAAAGTTATAAGGTGCATTATATTGAGTTTAAACTGATGCAAAAAGATGGAACTGTAATCTCAAGAAATTAAACAGAACATAAAAAGACAATAACAAACAACTACACAATGGAAAACATAGACTTGAGCTTATTATTTTGTAATCCTGCTTCAAAAATCCAATAGCTATCTTCCTTTGAAATTTTTTCCATCTCAATTCTCATTACGGCATCCACCACACCCACCGTATTCTCCACAAAGTTGTAAGATGTAAAAGTTAGATTGAAAGGAAAAAGCAATGAGAGAGAGACCCTATTAAAAAATTAAGTTAGAAGATATTCATACTCTCAGAAACAATAGATACTTCTCGTCTTAATGAACTATATTTAAACTTCTCTAAATTGCGATTCTTGGTATATTACTAGTATTAACTAAAAATAAGAGTAGATAAAAAACGCAAACTACTCGAGTAAAGAGTTTAAGTTGGTCGCATTGATGGCTTAAAAGATATTTACACAATCAGGTCACTTATTAGATTATCCAACCAAATCTCTATGCTAAATATCAATTGGTAAAAAGGTAAGTCACCTACAATCAGAGGTTAAACTCCACTGATAGTTGGCGTAGAAGATATTTGCTTAATCTTTTTGTTTGAGGGAACCATTTTGATGTAGATAATCCTATTTTATTTCTTGATTTTCTAAGTTCCATGAGTAGTTAGGTGGATATGGTCGTATGTTTTGCAGGGAGATTTATCTCTTTTATTATCAGTTTCTGCATCCTCTGGATGCCTCTAGTCATGAAATATTACTATACCTGATCAAAAATCTACACTGAGTGTAAAAACTCCTTACACTAAATGAATCTTCTATATCCATTCCGCTTCACTCCAGTAGTCTTCATAAAAGATTAGAAAACAACAAATTCATACAAAAAATATAAAAAGAAGGCAAAATGTGAATACCAAAAGAGATAATCACAAAAGCACCGGCGGGCACAACAAAAGAAGCAATTTGATCAACAGGTAATGTTGGCGGTTGAGCTTGTGATTCCTTGTAAACTCTCCGAGAACTCGACGAACGTCTCGAACCAGTACTACTAGACGAGGCAGCTCGAACAATTACGCGTTTCAGCTGCAAGCATTTACTTCTATTACTACTACTACTGAAATACAGTGAAGGCGAAATAGGAAGCAAAACGTAGCTTCTGTGTGAGCTGTTTATTGTTTGGTCCCTTCCAAACCCTAGTTTTCTCCGATGAAATTCAAAATTCACCTAAAAATTACCACAAAAAAAGGAGAAATTAGATATTTATTTTTGTTTGAGAATTCAGTTTAGTTATAGTAAATGGATGAGGTAAAAGGTGGAGAACAGGTGTACCGTTGAGTGAGAGCATAGAGAGAGTGTAGAAGCTGAGCCCATGGAGTTAGTGCGACTCAGTGAGTGAGAGAGAGAGAGAGAGAGTTGCAGAAGAGGAGATAAAGCGCGGCGTTGCAATGATGATGATCTGAGAGAATTTTGGGCCAAGACGACATGTAATAGTGTACTTGAATTTGTTGGGCTTGATTCCAGACTATTTGCTGGGCCTCTCTTGGAGACATACATAAAGAGCCCAGAAACCCATTAGACTTCATGGGATGGACTAGGGGGTGGCAATCGGACGGGTCGGGTTGGATATGGGCAGGTTGACAACGGGTAATGCAAAAACAGATAAATTATCAGATCTGACCATATTGAATATGATCACTTTTGGGAGAATTCTTAGTCTCCCAAACTTGACGAACCCCAATTTGAGGCTTTACAAATATAAAAGTTAAAGAGAATCTTACAAAAATGTCCCAAATAAGTCCAAACTTACCAACCTCTAGTCATTAGTCATAGACCTATCAAAACTAGCCAAGCACATATAAAATAATAACCCAAATAAATAAGGTTCTTTCTCTCCAGAATCACACACAAAGATCCCCAACTATATTTTTAAGCGTGATTAGTAACATTAGATGCAAGATGGAAAGGAAATTTCATGGATGAAGTGATGAAATACATATATATATATATATATATATATATATATATATATATATATATATATATATATATATATATTCCAAAAAATCTAAGCAAAAAAAAAGACTTTTTTTAATGTGTATGGCTGAAATTCATTGAAAACATATAGATGAGTCAGTATACAAAATTTGAGAAAGATTAGAGGTGATTTGGACTGATTTGGTATCAAAATTCATAGTTAAAATCGAGTTCAAATACTTCTTCTTCGACACATAAATCAAATATGTATCACAAATGTATCTCACACATAAGCATACATGGATATACATGTGATATCCATTTGGGTACACAAATATAAAAGTTAAAGAGAATCATACAAAAATGTCTCAAATAAGTCCAAACTTACCAACCTCTAGTCATTATTCATAGACTTATCAAAACTAGCCAAGCACACATAAAATAAAAACCCAAATAAATAAGGTCCTTTCTCTCCAGAATCACACACAAAGATCCCCAACTATATTTTTAAGCGTGATTAGCAACACTAGATGCAAGATGGAAAGGAAATTTCATGGATGAAATGATTAAATACACCATATATATATATATATATATATATATATATATATATATATATATAAGCAAAAAAGACTTTTTTCAATGTGTATGGCTGAAATTCATTGAAAACATATAGATGAGTCAATATACAAAATTTGAGAAAGATTAGAGGTGATTTGGACTGATTTGGTATCAAAATTCATAGTTAAAATCGAGTTCAAATACTTCTTCTGCGACGCATAAATCAAACATGTATCACACATGTATCTCACGCACAGTCATACATAGATATACATGTGATATCCATTTGATACAAATATGATACATATATGATACACAAATGATATACAATGTGACACACATATCTTCTTTTTTTTCATGTTCATCTTCTAATTCAATTTTCAATTCAAACCACCTAAAAACTCCACTAAATCATCCCAAAACTGATATTCAAGCTCCTTAAGATGTACCCAATATTCTAATAACACTCACTCAAAAGAAAGCAAAAATTTAACATTTTTTTGGCTACAAATAGGTCAATTTTAATAATAAACTACTTATAGATGGACATAACTGGTAGTTTTCCAAAACTAAACCCATTGGTTATCCATTTTTTAAGTGGATAATATGGTTATTATCCGTATTTGACCCTTTTTTAAAAATTTCATTATCCAACCCATTTTTTAATGAATAATATGGATGGATAACTATTTTGTTTTAATCATTTTGCCACCTTCGATGGACCAAAGCGTCCCAGATTGGAGGCATATTGGGTTAAAACTTTAGTAGACTCGATAAGATAACTTTCAACGCATACTTTCTTAGGGACTGTTTGGTTCACGTTCTAAACGTTAAAAACTTATTCACATTCGATATTCACGCCAAGTTAAGGATAGCATGATACTCATTTATCACCTAACTATATTTAATAATTATTTGCACCAGGGCTTTACTCGATTAGAGAACTTAAGTTCAAACAACTAGTGCTAAACTGCTAATAAGAAATACGTTAAGAACAAATATCCTACTGCGCTAACTGCATCATTTTGGACGACGTCGTTGATTGGATATCATAAGTTCAGCGACCATTAAACATTAACACATGTTTAAACTTTAAACCACTACCGTATGAATGTAGATTTGTTAATAGCAGGGGCAAGGAAGCTAATTAAAAGATTGGAGAATCTCTAATGTGGTGGTATTCGAACTTTATACAAGGTAATCCTAGTATAGTTTTGTTGACCACCTACCTCACTTTTAATAACCTTATTGATGTGGGTACGATTCTCCACCTTATAATCTCCTCTCCTTATATTGTATACGGGTAAAACCGAGTCCGTCGCATGACTTGACTTCCCGGTGAGCCAAACGGAGCAGGAACGTGACCATAATGTATCGGGGTCAGAACGAAGAACCCCTCGTATCAGGGCTCAGGCAAGCACCTGCCCTCGGGGATATCGGGGGCGTATCTTCGAGGGCCGATTTAAGAATTGAAACTTCGGAGAGCATTACCAAGCAGCTTCACACAACTAACAAAGGGCCCTGATATCCGTGCCTAACCGGATATCACAGTGTGAATCTCGGCTCGTAACGGCAGAAAATCAGTGATCGGCGAAACAGAAAATTTTTACCTTTTTTAGAATTGTACTTAGGGTAAAATTCCCCTACTATTTAAAAGGGAAGGCTTATTATTCATAGGATACATTATGACACACATCTCAAGGCATTATACTCTTACTCTCTCTGTAATTCAAGGTTCTTACTTTTGTTCATCAGTTCTTCATTAGTGTGAGCCGAGGAACGAAGGTAGACACTCCCACTAAGCCATTACTGAGTCCGGGATCACTCTCACTATTGGTTTGACAATTTATTACGTCTTTTATCTCTTTAATCTAACACCTTTTATCATTTGTATTCAATTAATCCGCATATCCTTAAGATCACATATAAATTTAATTGTTATCTGTTTTTTAGAGAAAACAGTTTGGCACCCACCGTGGGGCTAAGGATAATAGTGGAAATTTGATACAAATTTCTATAACTCACTCTATTTTACACTTGTTCTTGGAGCTTTTAATTAAAAAAATGTCAAACTCCCAATCTACCCATTTGAACGTTGATACTGAGTCTGGCTACCATGGTGAGAATAAAAATGTGGTGCCCAGCAACGAGGTGCCCCATGTTGACCCCAACGAAGTTCCAGTCGCAGACCCGATCGATACTAACTCACATGTGGCCATCGAAGCAAACTTGCCTACCGACCCCGAAAACAACATTCGCGGGGGAGCCTGATCGATAGCCCGGAGTACACACGACAGCGAAGGTGATGGAATCAACTTGCGGGTGATCTTCGAAATGTTACAGGCTCAATAGATAGCAATAGCCCAGTTGCAGAACCAAAGATGCGCCCCAGCAGAGTTGAGCCCGAACCATCCCCGGAAAACACTCGTAGAAATGAACCGGCCACAGAAAGGCCGGGTGAAGCTGAACCCGGACCAACCCCCGAGATAATAAAGATGCTTAAGGAACTAACAAAACGGGTGGAATCGGGAGAAAAGAAAATCGAAGCCAACGACAAAAAAGTGGAGACGTATAACTCTAGGGTCGATCAAATCCCAGGAGCACCACTAATACTGAAGGGCCTGGATTCCAAGAAATTTGTCCAAAAGCCTTTCCCATCGAGCGCAGCTCTCCCATAGAAGTTTCGTATGCCAGAAATTCCGAAATATAATAGAACAACTGATCCAAATGAACATGTGACCACTTACACGTGCGCCATCAAGGGGAACGACTTGGAAGATGACGAAATCGAATCCGTTCGGCTGAAAAAGTTTTGAGAGACCTTGTCAAAAGGAGCTATAATATAGTATCACAACATACCCCCTAATTCTATTGACTCGTTTCCTATGCTTGCAGATGCCTTTGTAAAGGCGCACGTCGGGGCCATCAAGGTCGAGACCAGGAAGTCAGACCTTTTCGAAGTAAAGCAAAGAGATAACGAGATGCTCAGGGAATTCATGTCGAGATTTCAAATAGAACAGATGGATTGTGGACGATTGGGTCGCTCAAGTATTCACCCAAGGACTCAACCACTAAAGCTCATTGGCTTCGCAGCAGTTGAAACAAAATTCGATAGAATACCCCGCGGTAACTTGGGCCGACGTCCATAACATGTACCAATAAAAATATCAGTCTCGAAGATGATCAGTTCGTGGCCCCTTCCGGATTCGTTTATCCCGTTAGAACTAGTGATAGATCCAAAAGAGCCACCGATCATGAATCAAGATTGAACAGAGATCGGTATCAACCATACAACGGAGATCGAATGGGTAATGGGTCTGGACGCAACCCTGCGAGGAGTGAAAAAGGGAACGATCAAGGCCACAATAGTCGGGGACTCATTATTAAGAACGGTTTCAACAGGCCACTCGGGGCCAAGAGGCACCGGGATTATCGGAATACAACTTCAGTGTCGATGCTGCTAGCATTGTATCCACCATCGGACCCATCAAAGATACCAAATGGCCTCGATCATTGCAATTTGATCCTGCCCAAAGGGACCCCAACCTAATGTGTAAGTATCATGGCACTCATGGCCATAGAACCGAAGACTGCCATCAATTAAGAGAATAAGTAGCCCGATTATTTAATAACGGACACCTCCGAGAATTTCTGAGTGATCGAGCCAAAAATCACTTTAGGAATAGGGACTCCAACAAGCAAACCGAGCAAAAGGAACCTCAGCATGTCATTAACATGATCATTGGTGTAGTTGACGTCCCTCAAGGGCCGATGCTAAAGCGCACTAAAGTTTCCATTACAAGGGGAAAACAGACTTAAGATTATGTACCGGAGGGAATCTTTGAATGATGAAGATGCCGAAGGCATCGTGCAGCCATATAAAGATGCCCTGGTAATTTCTGTACTTATAAATAAAT